GAAGTGCTCATGTTATAGATATCACATGTGTGAAGGGGAAGGAACAGAGAGAATCAGACAGAGAGAGAGAAGTATTGAGTTTGATTTGCACTCAAAGTAGTGTCTACCCTAACTATTGTAACTTTGGTGCTAAAAGTTTAAAGTGAGCTAGCCATTCCTGCCCTCAAGGAGAGAATGAAGAGTGCATGCCTTTGCTTCGCCTGTTCCTTCCCCTTTGAACGCTGTCATCCGAATTATCCCCACCTATAGCTCCTGGACTCCTAGACCCTTTTTTTGGCTGTAACAACCTTACATGGGCAGCAAGGTGCAGCAAAAAAGTTTTCTTCTTGATACAGCACAACAGCTTCAGGGATTTGCAGAACCATATTCCAATAGTATAAAAAAGTGAGTTCCATAGCAACAAGTCATACCATTCTTGGCACTTCAGAACTCCCAAAGCCAGAGGACCAGCTTGTGCTGGGTTTAAGAACTTCAGTGCATGTGTCACTGATGTCCACAGGCTGCACTCAGGACAGCCAAACACAGGAGACCTGTGAGAAAGAAGTGTTGGCATCTATTTAATGTGCATATACCTTGGAAAGGCAGTTATTTCTTGAAAACTTTGGTCGGCATTTGCCTGACTCCAAACTTCTAAGAGATGTTTACCTTGCCATGCTAAGGAACAGGTCCACTAGCGAATGTCCTGTTTGGACTGGCTCTTCCTTCAAGAGAGATTCAATTGGCTCTGCTATCCGTGACCAAAGAATTTCAGTCCACTGGTCATGACAGCATCCAAACACACTAGTCAGCAGCTTCAAGGCTTGCTTGATACGAGAGACGGAGCTGGATTTAAGAGACTCTTCAATGTGTGCCATTATCATTTGGGCACACATTGGCCAACTGCAGTACTTCATGCTGAGAGGGCTAGTTGTTTCGGACTGCAGAGAGAAAGTGAGAATATGCACTAGGAGCCGATTGACAGCTGAAGCCACAAACAGGCTGGGGTCTCCCTGCAGCATGAAGATCACATCAATGGCTCCTGTATTGATGAAAGAGAGCACAGCGTTCAAAATAAGTTTTTCTGTAAACTGGAGACCTTCTTGCAATCCCATATGTCCTAAGAGTACATCACATGGAAAAGAATGCAACATGAACATAAAAGACTAAACATGCAGTGATTGAGAAGTCAATGAATTAGCACAATGGCTTACTGCTTCCCTTATAAAATGTGTTTTCCAAATATAAGTGCATATGGGCTGTAATCAGATTATACCCATAATTAAATCTTTTTTTGGGTTGGGAGGGAATGATTTCAGAATCCTACAATCTGCAGAAGTTTGTGTTTGGATAGTTCTTTTGCAGTAGTTATGCCCTAGAGAGCATCATTCCTTTTGTTAAAAACAAGGAAGTAAAAATGACTGGTTTTCATCATCAAAAATGAAGGAAGTGCAAAAAGTAAACCCAAACAGCAGAAACTGAAGGCTTCCACATTCTCAGGTGATACTAGAAACTCACTAACAAAAAAGTAGTTCAACATAAATGTGTTTCATCTGATAGCATCTATGAAGGATTAACTCCAGCAAATGGTAAATTAGATTGAGAGGTGGGTTGCAAAACACGGGCCCAGCCCTCCATACCTTCTCTCACCTAAGCGGGTCCTACTTACTCACATCATCTTACTGAAGTCAATGGAACTGCTCAAGTGAGTAAGGTATACCTGTACAGGTAAGTTTGCAGGAATGAACCCCTATCAAATTTCCCTAAAGCATCATAGTCTTGTACTCCCCCTTCTGGTAATAATTACAGATAACATGTTGGCATCCTTCTGATAAACTGTTTTTACTCTGCCCCTGAGGAAGTTTGTATTTGTCCATCCAACATGTGCTATTTTTGTACTGAAGAACCTTGAAATATATGTCTGATGAACAAAAATAAAGCAAAGTTATTTTTTATAAAGACGTGAACGGTTTCTGTCCTCGTTTCCTCATTTCCTTTCCATTTTGGAAGGAAAATGGCATCTACAGCATCATGTTTTGACTCCCCCTCTCAAGCAGCCCCCAAGCAATGGGTTAGAGAGGCAGATACAAAGGACCAAGACAGGCAACACTCACCACTGCTGCACAGGAACTGGATGGTGCTCTGGTGCCGCACCATGCTACGCACACCTTCGACCCAGCCGCTCCGCACAGAGGCATCTTCCCACAGTGAACTGTTGATAGGCCCCTCTTCTCCGAAGAGACTGGACAAGAACTCCCCCTGCTGAGACCAGAAGAGACAGCCCTGGTAAGCAGATGCAGCGGGCAAACTTCTGGGGACGGTAGTGTGTGAGAGTCCATTTGGTAGTGTAGCTGCCTCATTACAGCAGTCTCATGAGAGGGTGCTATGGATACCTAGTGAAAATGCTTATTCATCCACAGGCTCAGCCTAAGAACAACACAAGTGTTGCGTAAAGGGACTAAGGGTTTCCTTAAGCTTTGAGGAAAAAACTCCTATGGGTAACAGTCATAGGAGTTTTCAGACTTTTTCTTATTCACAAGCATTCTCTTCCTTCCAGGGATACCGCTGAATTAGTTTTTTTCTACTGACATATGTAACAAGGGATTTAAAAAAATAGTATTTATCTCGCTTTGAGAGAGCATAAATTGTGGATACCTGTCCCTACCCTAACCATACAACTCCCCACTCCCCATACTCTATTACTGCAATTTACATCCAAGGACTCTGTAGAACTGAGGTACCGTTACCCAGCCAGTGCTGTGGGATTGCAGTGCTTTGAAGGTGAAAAGCAATGTATAAATAATGATTACTCCGTGTGCAAGATGGAAACAAGAAAGCAGGGACCGTATTAGTTAGAATTTCCACAGCACAGTGGGTTTGCAAGTCTACATTAATGTATTGGTGTTTGCTAATTTGTTTCATATATGCTAGCAAGCTTTATCTGAAGTAAACCTACTGAAAGACGCTCTCATAAGCCTACTGAGCAAAACAGTATTTAGATCACTGTTGTACTCCATGGATTTAAATGGTTACATTTTCCTCCTCGTTCCCAGATGGAAACCAGCACCCACGAGTCTGACTGTCTCCTTCACAGATTCCTAGAGCTTAAAACCAGAAACAACCACTAGAGACCATAGAGCTCCCCCAACTCTTCCTTTGCTACAGCTAATATCTGGGGTCTTACTGAAGCATATCTTCCACAAAGTTCTTTATTCTTTAGGCATAGCTGCACTTCTTGTTCCTAGATGTTTAAGATGTGTACTGGGCTGTATTAAAAACCTGTCATGTGGGCCCAGAATACCAAAAGATCCAGCTCACTGCACTGTTGCCCCGTCTTTAATAATTACAGGCATCCCGCATCTTACGCACATTTAACTTGCGTGAATTCAACTATACGCGGGTTGTGGGGGCTTGAGTCTGCACGCGGCGCTACCGCTTACCTGGAGGCCTGGCCACGACCACGCTGCCAGCAGTGACTGCCTCTGCCTCCAAAACCTCCCGCCGCTGCCACGGGGCCATGCCTGGAGCTGTGTGGCCAGCCGCCGGCCGTGGTGGTAGCCAGGCAGCATGCAGCCATCTCCACCACCACCCTGCGCCGCTGCCGCCAGCTGCACAGCTCTAAGCATGGCTCCGTGGCAGGTTTTAAAGGCAGAGGCAGTCACCGCTGGCACGGTAATATGCGATTTCACTACATGCAATTTTCACCTTTACGCGCTGCCTTTAGAGGGTAACCCCCGTGTAAGATGCGGGATGCCTGTACTACTCTGCCAGTCTTCTCATTTGTAAATTTTATCAGAAGCAATTTATATTCGCGTCAAGATTTTCATCAGTGACCTGGAATTGTATCGGGCATAACACTATCTCTGTAAAACCCCACTGAAAGGGACACCTGTTTGAAGGTTCCTCAGTAACAACTACTACTTTTTGGAATGTGTCAGCTAGTTCTTGCTCCAGTTAGCATGCAATTTAAAAACTGTCATTTTGAACTATGAATAAAGTCAGTGGTATGTGGTGGTGGGTTGAATGTGTCAGTAAAACCTCTTATGTCCTTACAGTTACCTTCATCAACCAAACGTGCAGTCTCCAAGAATGGAATCAGGTTTGTTTGACAAGGCCCATTCTTTAAATGTCTTGATCTCCTGCTGACCGCCACCCTTACAATATTAGTAGGGGTGCACCAATTAAGATTTTTTTGGCTGATATTGATGGCCAATTATTAACCAGTCATATCGGCCAATACTGACCTGATAGCCGAAATGCAGCCCAGCAGCTTGGAAAGCAGCATTCGGTCAGTAAGTCTGTGGTGGGGAGGAGGCATGGAGGGGGGGAAGGGGCATGGTTGCAGGGGGACAGACTGAGGCCCCCACAGTGAGGGAGAGAGTGGAACTGGGGCGGGGCAGGCACTGTCCAGGGCATGGGATGGAGCCAGGGGTAGCATGTGTCCCTGGGGTTTGTGCGCAGGGCTTGGGCAGGATGCCTCCTGTGGGCTTGGGCCAGGGGCTGCGCCAGCCTCTTCCCAGTGGGAGGGGTTGGGCCATGGCTGTGCTCAAGGAGATCAGGGGTGGCGCTGGCAAGGGGGTGCTACAGTGAATTTTGGGGTGGCTGCAACCCACCCCATAGTGTCCCAGCACCACCACCCACCCTGCCCTGGCCCACCCCGAACACAGTCCTGGCCCAGGCCCCCTGCTGGGAAAAGGCCAGCACAGCCCTTGGCCCTGAGCTTCAGCAGACAGCCCACCTTTGCTCTGTGCACAAATCCGGAGGGCACACGCCTCCCCCAGGGGTGCATGCAGTAGTGTGGAGCTGCCCCCCTTTCTACCCTCCCATGCTTCCTCCCCCCGGCCCGACAAGCTGCCCCATGGCTCCATCCCCTCCCTGCTTGTCCTCGGCTGGCCAGCGCCTGTCCCTGCCCCTCTCTTTCCTTCACTGTGGGGGTCTCAATCTGCCCCTTACCAGTCGGACACTGCTCTCCAAGCTGCCAGGCTGCATTCCTGGCCTCGTGCATGCTACGGCTGCACACATGAATGCAACATTTATCGGTGACATTATCAGCTACCCCAGCCAAAAAAGCCAATTGTCGATAATGTCAATTTTCCTTTTATTGGTGCTGAGCTGATATGGACCAATATATCAGTGCACCTCTAAACATTAGCACAAAGTTAGTACTCTTCTAGTCTTCCAGTTCAAGATTTATTGAAAATGATCCTTAACCCAGGAATCCCCACAGCCAACTGTTTTTGGGGTCTCTTCTGTACAGGTTACCCAGCCCCAGTCATTTCAACATATTTAATCCAGTGATGCTGCATAACATTTTTCTTAGTTACTAGTGGACTAGATAGGACTTTGGCATTCTTCTGTGATACGAATACATCCTCCTTCTCACCAAATACAGAACAGAAATTTATTGCATGTCTGCCTTTTTTGCATCATTAATACCTATTTTATCATCTATTCTTAGAAACTGATCTGTATCATTGCTAAGGATCATTCTGTCCCTAATATACGTACTTAATCTCTTTCACATTGCCTTTAGCCCTGCCAGCCATGGATTTTTCCCTGTTGTCTTCAGCTTTTATTATACATTGGAAGGAATGAAGCGTGGATAACTGATATGGACAGTTATCTATTCTCCAGTTTTCTGTGTTTTATGCTACTTTCTTTTCTTTCCAATTGTTGCCTTCATTATATCACTTAAACAGGATAGGCTTTCAGCCAAAGTTATCTTTGAGTGAAGAATCACAGGTCCTTAACCATGGTGTTATTAACTTCTAACAAGAATGGCCAAATTTCACACATCTTTGTCCCAACCCTTTCATCCCTCCCTTCTCACCACAATCAATTTTGCGTATAACTCTGTACAGCTCTGAGCAGTTGGCCTTTTTCTGGAGCCATTGAGAGAGTCTTCTCACAATGAGTGTAATCAGACTATGATCACTGGGACCAATGCAGCTACCTGCTTCCAGTTCAGTGACTAGTTTCTGTCTTTACCCATCATAAAGACATCCCAAATAGTTACCTCATCCTGAGTGCATTAGAGTACTTTAAACTCTAATGATGATTTCCTATTAACTGTAGGAGACCTCCAGGAAGTATCTCAAATTAAAGAAGCCACAACATTTTTTCTTTCCACATACTCTAGGTAGGTACTAAGAAACACTCATCCTGTTCTTAGGTCTACCATGCTGGTCTATAACAAAACCCCACCGGTATCCCCCTCCCCATTGCTGCATGCAAATATATTGGTTTGTTTGGAATGACATACATATGAAGAACTGAGGAGATGCAAAGTTGAGAGTCGCTGAAGACAATACTCCTATAAGAATGTGAACAGTGTACTTATCCTATGTCAATGAAAGAAAACAGCACGTGTGGTAGTCACACACATCACCATTACACAATCCAGTTTGGGGGTGGCACTTTCCATGTCATTACTTCCTCTCCCAAGGATCTGACAGCTGTCCTGTATATGCAACCAGCTGGATGCAAGGAGCTGCTTTTACTGCTTTCCACCCCCATGTCCCCCCTCTCCCACTCCAACAATATTTGAACGATTTTTCTTTTGAATGATGTTATATAGAAAAAGCAGCTAGACTATGATAGCATTGCATGCAGGTTTAATTTGCAGTCTGAAACTAGTCCCTTGACTCACCTGCAAGTGCTGGAAGCAGCTTTCAGAGGCTGCAAAAATCCCTGTTAACCTCAGAATAAAGGAGACAATGCTGGGACTTGGGTCTTCCAATTTTAGCACACAGGTGACAAGCTCTGTCAAGCACGGATTCTCCTGTAAGAGCAGCAGGCTGGATTCTGTGGAAGAAATATTATCCGTGGGAGATGGAGCGACACTTGGTTATCATTTCTAAGAGATGTCTTTTTATTCTGTCCTAGAGTTTCAGCAGGCTCCCGTAAAGCCAGAACATAATCATTTAGTTATCCATTAGCAACACCTTGTATATTTAGAAAAAAATTAGGATGTCTATATGGGTGCTTTGAATGTGGGGGCGCTTTAATTGGAGCACCCAGAGCGCTGTGTGTGTCAGTGTCTCCGCGCTTCAAAATAGCGGTGCGGGTGCTTTATATAAAACTTGTCGAACGAGCTTTAGATAAAGTGCCCCCACCGGCATTTTAAAGCACGTGGACACCGATACACGAAATGCAGAGGCTGGCTGGAGTGCGGTAATTACATTGATTAATCGAGTCTGCTCTGACGCACTGTAATTACAGCATGTCGGACAGCCTCCACACCCGCATGTAGGCACCCTTAAAGCATGAACCCTTTCACAGGCTTTCAGTGACATCTTATGAAGAGCAAGGATCGCAGCCCATCAGGAGATAGCACAAAGACAATAAAGATTTACTGTACAGCTTTTTTTTTTTCACTAATTCCCATGCGAAAGCACCCCTCCACTTGCAAGGTGCGATCAGCCAAGGGCAAGCAACCGTGTTATTTATAATCTATAGGGTACAGCCAGGCGTTGTGCCCTACACACTGTCACTTCTAAAAAGTGATATTGTTTGGGTTTTATCCCCTCGTCGTTCATCAGCCGTAAGCAACGTTCGGCAAACCCCAGTTACCTGCTTCCGTCAGCGCCTTAAACCAGTCCAGCATCTTCTCTAAACAGGTGTCGTCGGAGACGAGTTGCCTGGCGTCGGCCAGAACGGCGCAGACGGCGGGCAGGAGCCGGGCGCACTCCCCGTCCATCCTGCGGCCTCCCGGCCAAAGCAAGGCAAGGGACAGATGCAAACCCCCCACGCGGGGCTTCTCACCACCACTGCGGCCTGGAGGCGCAGGATGGACCTGCCCCTGCTGCGAAAGCCCCCGGCAGACGTTACATTTGTGGCGGGGCTGGTTCCAGGGTCGCCTGTGTTATCCTGCGAGACCCCCCCTCTCCTTGAACTTCTTGGTGGCTGGGACCCTGCTTTGCCCCGAGGACCAGCGGGTACGACGGGCGGCCCAGGGCGCGCGATAAAGGTGACGGCGGCCCGGCCCCGGGGAGCAGCACGCGGCGGCTCGTCACCAGGGAGACGCCTGGCGCCGGCGCCCACCGACTTCCGCCCCGCGGCCGCAAAGCGCGCCTGCTGCCCACTGCCGTAAAACTGTCGTAATGCGCCGCGGAGCGCGGCACCTGGCCTTCCCCCCGCCCGGGTTGCCGCTCCGCCTGCGGCTCCCGGCCTGCTCTGCCGCTCCGCCTGCGGCTTCACGCACACAGATAGCACAAGATATATATGTGTGTGTGTTTGTAGATGAGATTTTTAAAATTTTTAATTTATATTTATCACAACTTGTTTTGGGTAGTTGGGATTTTTTAATTTTAATTTATATTTATCGTCTCTACCTTTTTCGGGTAGATGGGATTTTTTTATTTTAATTTATATTTATCACCCCTACCTTTTTCGGGTAGATGGGATTTTTTTTTAAGTAACGCAGAACTCGTGGTTCGGAGATGATAATTTTTATTAGACCCGCTGAGAAATTTCAAACCAAAAATATTTTATCTTTCTCTGCAAGCTTCCAGGCTTACGTGCCCTTCATTAGGCTCAGGGGAAGTTAAAAATGGTAAAAAGTCCCCGCGTGTAGGAAATAAACGTCATTTTTGCACAGAGGGAGCTGGAAATCTGTCCCTCTGGGTCCATGAGAGACATGCACATGCACTTCTTTGCATGTCTTTGGGTAGATATGATATCTTTTATTAAAAAGGCAACCAGGACTCGTAGTAGAGATGATGTCTTATTAGGCCAACAAGATTTTTGCAAAAAAAATGTCTTTAATTTGCAAAAATCTTGCTGGTCGAATAGAAGATACCATCTCTACTAAGAGTCCTGATTGCGTTTTCCTCTAGACCAATACGGCTACAACCTGGATACCTGACGCATGGAAGATACCTTTTATTATGCACACACATATGTGTGTATATATGGATAGCGCACGTTTTTGTGAGCTGGAGCTCACTTCATCAGGTGTCCTGAAAGGGCTCCAGAAAGCAGAGTATAGGAGAGAAATTAGAGTACAAAAGACAAGGGAGGAGCAGGGGAGACAGCAGGAGAGGAGAGGGGCTCAGTGCTGGGAGAGACAAGCAAACAAAATGTCAAACCCGTAGGAACCCAGGGGTTCCCAAATCACCCACGTAGAATCCATGGTCTCCATTTAAACCATACTTAGCACAGTCCAGGTTTGTTTGTTTTTTAAATATACGTGTGTATATGTGTGTGTGTGTGTAGTTATATATATAGTTCTATATATACAGTGCTTTCCTTCACCCACCTTAAACCGCATTTAAAACCCGCACACCCATTACAATAGACACACCTGCGCTCCCACACACCCATCCGCAGTCCTTTCCCTAACACAGTCTCTTAGTTCTCGTCCCGATGTTCAGTCTGTGGACGATTTGTTGCTCTGCAATTTCCCATTCAAATCTGTTTTCCAAAGTTTGCTATCTGAGATCAGCCCCCCTCCGGTCGGTGACGGCGTGCTCGGCGAGGTTCACCGTTCTGCCCCAGGCTGGCGTGTCTCTGCAGCCGGTGTCGGCGGCGGTCATTCGTTCTGCAGTGTCGGGATCGTCCAGTCTGTCCAATGTAGACGGCAGAGGAGCGCTGTAGGCAGGTGAGGGTGCGTATGACCTTGGTGCAGTTGCAAGCGAATGAACCTCAGATATCAAAATCTGTATTTTTTTGGTCAGTGATGAAGATGTGGTCTGGACTGATGTTGGGGCACAGGAGACATTTGGGTCCGTTGCAAGACCTGGTGCCTCAGTGAGACTGGGGGCTGGATAGCCTTTTGTTTGAGACGTGCCACTTGAGGTTGGAAGGCTATCTAAGCCAGGGCTGGTTTGTCCCACAACTACTTTGACGCATCATCCTTTTGCAGGAAGGGTTGGAGATCGTTAATGATGTGTCTAACCTAACTTCGGACTAGCATGGCTAACCCTGTCTTCTTTTGGACAGCCAGACCCAGAGAAGCTTTGGAGGATCCACGTGATGGCACTGTTGCTTCGCGTTCATGAGCAAGGCTGCCTCTTCCATGTCCTTCCTTGCAATAATAAATGTTACTCTTATTTCTACTGGGTTTAGACTTGGTTGCTTTTCATTTTGTTCTTATTTTAATATAGTCAGAGCCCTAACATGAGTGCATCTCGCACAACTATGCATCGTGCCTCTCAGCTATTGCCTATTATGAGAGACAGCTCTCTCCCACACAAGCCTGAGGTTATTTTCCCGCTCTGATTATAAATTATCTACACCAGAAACGTGGGATTTGGAAATCCAAGTTATTGAAAGTGATGTTTAAGCGTGTGGTACAGTTAGCTTTCTTGCGGCTTTTTTCATTGCTCTTGTCTCATAATAGCTCCCACACTTGGCTAAAGACAAATGAAAGGTATATGGGGGTATATTCCTATGGAAATATAGATTTTAAATCTTAATACTTTAATTCTCTTATGCACTTCCCATGTTTCAACCCAGAAGGGACTACATTTCAGCGGGGGCAGAAAGATCTTTGTGTATGTTGCATATCTTTCTGTTAGTTCCTTTAGGAAAGCTTCAGGAAAAATGGATAATAGATCAATGCAAAGTATTATCACTGTTGCTCGTTTATTAGGTTTTCTTTTCTGTACTTTATTTAATCAAACTCACAAGAAATCACACCACTAGCCTGTACAGGCCCCTCCAAGGAAGCAGCCGAAACCATCTCAGCCCGGGAGGAGCTTTGTGTTTCAGCGTGAGCGTGCAAGGGTCCTGGTTTAACAACTGCAGAGTGGAGGCAGGGGCGTGCAAGGGGGTTTGTTCTGGGAACGGGGCAAGCCTCAAGCCCTGGGAAAATCCCAAACTGGGGATATTGTAACACAACTGAAACAACAGTACAAGGGGGGGCTCTCTCTGCCTTCTGGCTTTGAGTCCTTAAGGCAGAGGTTCCCAAACTATGGGTCGCTTCCGTCCCCATCCAATGCCAGCGGATGGGGCCAGGCTGAGGAAACGGGGCCAAAAACAGGGTCCTGCAGAGGAGACGTTTGGGAAGTACTCGCTCACACCTTCGGGTTGCCTCATCGCAGCGGGTGCCAGAAATCACACCGAAACCAGGCCAATCCCCTGACTCCTGGAGCTGGGGGTTTGGCAAAACCACCTGCTCTTGACCCCCACCCCCAGCAAAGACCAGTGAGTAGCTCTGGAGCCAGGGGGAGCCCTCCTTGCAGCCATGGCCCAGCCGACCCCACCCCCGGCTCTAGCTGTGCATTGCAACTCCGGGCAAGCGCACGGTCGTCGCCTCCAGTCCTCACTCCGGGCGCCGCCACGCTTGGCCCGGGCGCTGCGGCCTAGCCGGGTTGCCATGGAGACGGCGACCCGGAAGTGCCGTGCCCCTGTGTGGAGATGGCCCGGCCCGGCCCGGCCCGCACTGGAGACCCCCGGGTTGGGCTGGAGGAAAAAGCATCCAAGACTCGTGGTGGAGGGATGTCGTTTGGTAAATTTTTTTGCCAAAAAATGTAATTGCAAGCTCGTGGACACAGGTGAGCTCTTGCATTAGGCCAACGTGATTTTTGTTAAAAAAAATCCCCCACTTTAATGTGGAGATGGCCCGGCCCGGCCCGGCCCGCACTGGAGACCCCCGGGTTGGGCTGGAGGAAAAAGCATCCAAGACTCGTGGTGGAGGGATGTCGTTTGGTAAATTTTTTTGCCAAAAAATGTAATTGCAAGCTCGTGGACACAGGTGAGCTCTTGCATTAGGCCAACGTGATTTTTGTTAAAAAAAATCCCCCACTTTAATTACAACCTTTAAAAAAAAAAAAAAAAAGCTTGGAATTAAAGACATTTCTTTGCAAAAATCTTGTTGGTCTAATAACAGAGATCGTCTCTGTCCACGAGCCGTGTTAACAGCTTGCAATTAAAGACATTTTCTGGCAAAAAAATCTAATAAAAGAGGTCGCCGCTGTCCATGAGCCCTGATGGCTTTTTCCGCTAGACCAGTACAGCTGTCCGGGCTCGTGGACAGAGGTGATCTCTTTTATTAGACCAACACGATTTTTGTAATAAATAAATAAGTAAATGAATAAAAAATCTTTAATTGCAACCTTTCGGGCACAACAATTTAAAAAAAAAAAAAGTTTGGAATTAAAGGCATTTTTTTTTTGTTGGTCTGATAAAAGAGATCGCCTCTGTCCACGAGCCTGGACAGCCATATTGGTCTAGAGGAAAAAGCAGTCGGGGCTCGTGGACAGAGGTGATCTCTTTTATTAGACCAACAAAAAAAAAATTCTTTAATTCCAAGCTTTAAAAAAAAAAAAAAAAATGTTGTGCCCGGAAATTTGCAATTTAAAGAATGTTTTCTTTTTACAAAAATCTTGTTGGTCTAATAAAAGATATCGTCTCTGTCCACAGACCCGGATTGCTTTTTTCTCTAGACCAGTACAGCTACAACCGGGATACTTAAAGTCTTAACGTAGCATCAGAGCATACGAGCTGCCATCGGCTGGGCCAGTCTGACTTGCCCCCGGCTCCTGTCACGCCCGGGCAGAGAGCGGGTGCCGAAGGGGAGGGTGAACCGGGTCTGACTGTGTTTCCCCCTGTCCCTCTTTCACTTGCAGCCTCCAGGGCTGAAGGTTTAGGAGGCTGTGGTTCAGAGGCCGTGCCTCTAACTCCCATATTCAATAGCGACTGATGCCCCTTTCCTCCAAGCTGGCCAGTCCCTTCTTGAACCTGGCAGTGCAGTGCGGCTCCACCACATCTGGTGGCAACTGAGTGCTACCCATTAATGGCACGCTGTGTGAAAAAGTTTGGCTCAGTTTTAAACTTACTAGTTTCATTTTGTGACCCCCTAGTTCTTGTATTATGTGTGAGACAGTAAATAATAAATCCCTGTTGAGTTTCTCTTCACCATTTAGTATTTTGTAAATCCTTATCATGCCCTCCACTCAAGTTTCTCTTTTCTAAACTGAATAGGTCTAGCCTCTTTAGTCTCTCCTCGCGTGGATGCCTCTCCGTACCGCTAATCATCCTTGTTGCCCTTCTGTGGACCTCTAGCTCTGATATATAATTTTTAGATGTAAGGACCAGAAGTGGGCACAGTATTCAAGGTGTAGGTGCAACATAGATTTATAAAGAGGCATAACAGTACTTAGTTTGCAAGTATTGCAAACATGTTTAATCAGTTATCTTTTATCACCCCAATAAATCCTTGCCTCTCATAATTTCTGGACACTCATGGCC